ACATAACAGGAACGTTTGTGACAATTATTGTCCATTTATTTGGTTCAATTCAGGGAATGGCAACAGGAATGTTGTTTTTTTTTCCTTATAAAATGCTACAGTAAAAAATGTTAAAAAATGTCATCAACTGTGAGATTATAAGGATTTCCTGTCATCTTAACCATTCAGGCCAATAAAATTACATTAGTTTTAATTGCTCACATCTTACCTGCCACCTTCTTGAATTCCTCTGTCCATGTAGCTCCAGAAGAGAGGTGGGTGTGTCTCGGCGAGGACAGAAAGAGAGGCTGCAGAAGAAATCAGAAGACTGGACTGAGACGGAACAAGATGAGGAGGTTTGCTTCCCAGGTCCTCAATTCCATCTTAATCCTAAAATTTTCTCTTTAACTTCAAGAATCATGTAAAAGATGAGAATATGGTTTTTTGCTTTCTGACTAAACTTCTTTTTTTTTCTTTTCTTTTTTTTTTCTTTTTTTTTGCGTTTCTCCAGCCTACTGGATTCTTGAATGTATCAGGTGAGTAAGTTTTCACTTTGTTTTCATTTTAATTTAAGACAGCTTCCTACCTTTGGAATTGATCTCTTAGTCATCTTTTAGCAAGAAAACAAACATTTGATTATTGTTGTAGTTGCTGTTGTTACACTTTGACTCAGTTTTAATTTTTCCTCACAAAGTTTGCATGTTCTCCCCCAGTGTGGGTTCTCTCCAGGTACTTCATCTTCCTCTTGCAGCCCAAAAACCTGACAGGTTAATTGATTACTTTAAGCCATGCCTTTATTGTGAGTCAGTGTGTTTGTGTTTCTCTGTATTGCCCTGCTAGCGCGACCTGTCCAGGGTGAACTCCACCTTCCTCCCCATAATCGCTGAATAGATGGATAGCCTCCCACGATCCTACCGAAAGTAAACAAAAGCTGAATGCCTTATAAGTAAATAAATACAATTTCAAATTACAGTGCTGGATAGTTATTTTGTTTGTTTGTTTTTGTTTTTATATTTATTCAGTCTCTCTGTCCCTTCAGCACCTCGGACAGCGGCGGTCTCTCCAACTAGGATCAACGCTGAGGGGCGGTGGTGGAGTTATTTTCAGGCTTTTTGTGAAATCATTCTTAATTTAAAAAAGAAAATGTCTACAGCACATCGTTATGACAATTCCGAACGAAAGAGAGCGTTTTCATATTTTATATCTTGCATTAAGAAAATGATGCCTCTTTTCTTTATAATAAAAAAAAAAAACTTTTTTTGCTCCAGAGAAAATGACCTGATCCTGATTTCTGACCAACAGCAAACTGACTGTACCAGGGGACCAAAGGACCCGGAGAGCCTCCGCGAGGGTAAATGCCGGTGGACAGAGAGGACCGTGCGCGCTCCAGAGAGGAGAGGAGACGCAGGAGGCGCGCAACCGCCAAATATCGGTCTGCGCATGCGTCCAGGGAGCGCGTCCGCGTCGTGGCCTTTAACGTGGCTTTTGCAGAGCTTAGGAAACTTCTGCCGACCCTCCCACCGGATAAAAAGCTGTCCAAAATTGAAATCCTGAGACTCGCTGTTTGTTACATCTCCTACCTGAACCATGTCCTGGATGTTTGAGGGGAAATGACAGAAAGGATCAAATCACTGAGGAGCACAGCGACTGAGTTTTTTTTTTTTTTTTTTTGTTTTTTTTTATCACATAAGGAGCTGCAGGACAGTTTCAGAAAAAATCTGCAGGATTAAAGAAAAGCATTTAATTTTCTGAATATTGTTTGTAAGCTAAGTGTACTTATTGAATATTCTTAGAGTTAGTAAATATGGAGGTCCAAAAGTGCCATAAATAAATAAATAAATGGCACAACGTGTCATTAATAAGTAAAAGGATGAATATTCCTTCACATGCATAATGAATTAAATGTCTATAAACAATATTTTTGTTTGCAAATTTCATGAGAGTTATTTTTTTTACAGTTTACTTAAACAATGTGGTTATGCTTTACATAATTAATTTATTTTCTTTTTGAGCCAATTACTTCAAATTCAGTGGGTGGGGTTAAGAACAAGTTGACCTCGCTTGTGGCCATTAACCAATCAGATGTTGGAGTTAAATTCTTTCTTTTTGACACTGCATCGTATTGAATTAATTTTACACACATGTTAATTCCAATTTTAACAACTTCAGTGGAAGAATAAGTTTTTAACAATTAGCAATTAATTGATTTAATTTTAATGTTTTAATATTTTAATTAAGAATTGCATAAACCATTAGGTAATGATTGATTGGGGAATTTTTGACCATCCATACTTGCCTTTAGTGTACTCTTATTTTGAACCACAATAAAAATATTTATTTTGCTGGAGACGGTCATTTTGTGGGTTTGTTTATTGAAATCCAATCTAATCAATATATGGTTGATAAACTGCAGTATATGTCTGTATATAAATATAAAAAACACCAAAAAAATATATTTTCAGTAACTAATAAAGTATTTTATCAACTTAACAGCATTACAAGAGTGCAGCCATTTCTTTCTAAGTCCAGTACAGAGACATTAGTTCAACCTTGTGTAACTTGTAGAATAGATTACTGCAACGCTCTGCATGAAGGTGTTCTTTAAAATGATGGTATCTCCACTACAGCTGCTTCAGATCTCAGCTGCAAGAAACTTATGAAGACCAGAAAGAAAGCTCACACATCACTCATTTAAAATTTATATTTTCTACCTTTTCAATATGAAATTTATTTCAAGTTGTTTTATTGGTATTTTAGACTTTTAATTGTCATTTGCCATTGTAGAGTGGACATTGAAATATACTGTAAACCAAATTTGAACCATGCTTGGCTTTTTTGGCATCTCCACTGCATGATGCTGCCTTCAGGATTTTATTTTCATGATGATGTGTAGTGTTAATATTTATCCACTTACAGTCTTTAGCATGCAGACCAAAAGTTGTCTGCTTTGCTTAATTAAAGTTTAGTAAAATTCAAAGTTCAACCAAAAACTGGAAAAATTAAGCCTTTCAAATCAATTCACTACTCTTAGCTATTTACATATTTAGTCTCATGTAAAGATACATAATTTATTAAATCTAACAAAACTCTCCTAACATCTAAGACTGTGACCTTGCAGCAACTAGAAAAGCTGTAAATGTGAGTCCTTCCTCATTATTTTCCTAATTAAAATGAGACCTTCTGCAGCACACATTTCAAATGACCAGGAGGTCTGTAAATACTATAAAGCAGATCACTGAGTGTAGTATGATATATTAAAAATAAATTAGACAAAAAATTAATTTGATCAATTCAGCGACTAAAAAAAAACCTCAAGGACTGTTTTATTTCAATTGATTTAATTTTAATATGATTAAATGTAGCTATATTTTACATAAAATCAGAATTTATTGAATGTTATTTTGAAGAATTCGAGAGTATAAATAAAATAGTACCCAACCTGTGCAGCGTTTTTCTTTTTTATTTAAATTCTCCCAGAACCCGAGGTATTTTCTAGATAACAACACCGCCCTCTCCCGGAGTTGAGTAAAATTACAAGATGGTGCCATTATACTTATTTAATGTTTTTATTCATTCATTATTTTTCAAAATTATTGTTTTAAATGTCTACAACTGTTTTAGTCCTAGCATTAAGACACTCTTGAACCAGAGTTACGGTCAGAAGCAGTGAGGAGAAAAATGGTTGGATTGTTGCTCACAAAGTAAATCATTATCACACACACTCTTGCACATTGACATGCAAGATGACATTCCCGTCTCAAAAAAATATTTTTTAAAATCAGTCTTATGGAGCATTAAACTTTTTTTAAAGAAACAAATATTGTTTTTCATAGCTGTGAAGCCATAATAATAATAATAAAAAAAAATAACAGAATTAAAATTTGAAATTCACCTGTATTATCTATTTATTAAGAGTTTTGAAACGTACATTTATTCGTTTCAAATTAATTTTTAGACAATATTTTAATTTTGGGACATCTACATTTTTATCTCTGTAGAAGTAGAAATATGATCCCGTTTATTGTGAATTTGGGCTTTTATTTACATGTGTTTTCAGATTTTTGTTGCCGCAAAATGTCTTTAAGTCGAGCAAACAGAATTTCTCCATTGACCGTTAATGTGACTTAAAGTGGGGTGGGGAGGGGGGGGATAAAAATAAATAAATAAATAGTAACATATTTGTGTTGCAAGTTTTCCTGTTTCGTGGAGGGTCGTCAAGTCACACAAAGGACGACCTCTTGTGGCCTGGAGTGAAATCTCGTCGTGGCTCTTCTGAGGGCATTGTACATCCACTCCGCCTGCCTCTCTGGTCCTGTTCACTACAATAGCCAGCCAGGCTCGAGTGAAGGAGCTTCCTCTCTCGGCTCAGACAGACGCGCCTCAGAGCCGCAGCCGCACATCCACTGACTGGCATCCAGACGCGCATTCCCGGAATACGAGGCAATTTTGAGTCAAAGGTAGGTGAATTAAGCTTTATCGAAATGCTGTGTTTATGGCACTGGGACGGGGTGGAGGCTGCCTTTGCCCAAAAAGAAAAAAAAAAAAAAAAGCCGAAGACACACGACCTCATAGGAATTAAGTTCCCTGCTGTCGTAGCGGCGAGGATGATTATATATACAGAAAGCTTTTTCTTCTTATCAAACAGATGCTGAGTCCTAATCTTTTCTTTTTGGGTACCCTGTTTTATGTTTTATTAGAACACAGCTCTAATAAAACGCATCAAAAACTAGTGGCTAATCTGAGGTTATTGCACATCACACAGGCCACTGAATGGGGGGCGGGGGGTTCAGGTTGGGGCTGGTGCTGCAGCTGTGAAGCAGATCAGTAACACCCTTCTCTCTGCCAGCGCCTGTGAAACACAGGCTGTTCGGAGACGAGGCAGCCTCCGCAGGGCATCGCCATCCTCAGCAGCTGTCTGCGGGGCTGCACAGCTGGATGAAGTGCTACTGAATCTGAAACAGCTTCTCTGGCGCTGTCTTGATGCTGTGCAGCGAGAGCTACAGTTATTTATTATTGAGCAGCGCTGTTAGGAGAGGCTGGGGAACTCCTGATCAGATGAGTCATATCAGCTCCTTCAAGGAGAGATCAAAAGAAAAGGGGTTGCTTTGCCTTTTGTTCTCATTATAGCCATGGTTTCTGACTGGCTGGACAGGATGTAAGAGGAAACAGCACTACCTTTAGGCTAAGGTTTGGATGGCGTGATGCGAGATTCTTTACAGCAGGCCTATAGAAAGATGTAAAAGCACTTACAGCAGAGCTGGCTGGACGGGGAGCATCTCTTCCTCAGGAATGGCTGTGCTACTCCTTCCTCCTACTGTACTTTTACTTAGTTCCACTTGAACGCATCAGAAGGGCCTGAAATTTGCATTCCTGAGAAATGTGTCAGATCTTAACTTTCTCCTTTTGCTCTGTGGGCATGTTTGTGAAGGTGGGGGGTGAGTGAACAAAGTGAGGTAAGCCAAGAGTCAATCTCAGGTCAAGGATTTTCTTTTTCTTTTTTTTTTCTTTTTTTTTGCATGTATCCAAGAAATATTTCTGCAGCGTGCCAGAGTTAAAATGTGCAGCAGCGGTTATGATATAGCATGCGACCCTAACCCTACGGAAGAAAAAAATTGGTTGTTTGTGTTTGACTTTTACCATTTTTAGTGACTTAAAATTCATAGTGGGAACGTTGTCACATTAAAACCACAAATTTCTGTGTATTTCTTGGGGGCTTGCTGGGGGTATTTTATGTCAGCATTGCATAGATGTGGAAGCAAAATTATATAAATGCATTTCTGTTCAGGATCCTTTTCTCTAAAACTCTCAAATACAATACTCTGGATCTAATTGCTTTCAGAAGTCACCTAATTGGTAAATTAAGTACAAATCCAACTGTTCTATGAAGGCCACAAAGATTTAATATAGAACATCAGCGAACAAATAGCAACATAAAGGTCAAGGGATAAATCAGACAAACAAGGAATACATTTGTAGAGATGTTTAAAGCTGGGTTAGCTCATAAAACCATATCTCAAACATCTCGGAGAGCAATATTTAATCCGACATCTAGAAATAGGGAGAGCATGGCACAATTGCAAAACTACCAAGACACGGTTTTCCACCTCAACGGCCATGCCAAGCATGGAGCACGTTAATCACAGAAAAAGAAATGCCAACTACAGTAAATAGGAGATTTTAAATGGCGTGAGAGATTGCTGCACAGTCATAACTACAATAGTACGGTTTGGATCAAAGGATGTATTAAACGGTTAAAGGCTTATATCTAGTTGAGAAATATCATTGATACTTTCCATTTAATATGTTTGTGCTCAAGCTAGTTTGAAAACAATAGTCAAACATATAATTTTCTATCTATGCGAGGCTGATAGGGCTCAATAAAATTGCATGCCACATTTAGATTTTTATTTGTAAACGAAATGTAAAAACCGTCTATCATTTTAATGAGCATCTACTTTATGTCTGTCAATTAACATAAAATAATGAAAAACACAGAGGTTTGTGGCTGTGAAGTCACAAAATGTGAAAATGTACGTGTTTGAATTCCAGTGGGACTAAAATGAACAGGTGTTTCTCTGGGTTATCTGAAGTCCACAGAGGGATTGGCGACTGTATTCACAATAAATACCACTGGCACACCCCAGCATGTATACACACACACACACACACACACAGAGAGTGTGTCAGCCTGCATCTGATTTATTTGATTTAACAAGCTCAGCGGAATGTCTTTCTTCTCTGTTTTTGTGCTGCAATTTTTTTTTCCCTTCCAAACAACATTAAAATGGTAATAAAAATCCAACAGACTTGGCAGAGGTTGTGGTGTGCTACAGTAGGAATTGTGCCATTTGTAGATTGGGGGTTTTGTAATTTGTTGACTGCTTTGGATTCTTGAAAACAGTCAGCTGCTGCATCAGGCAGATTATGGCATAGTAATACCACCAGAGCATGGTGTGCATGGAGGAAGGAAGGGAGGCACAATGGCTAATGGGTGCGAGAGGGAGGGCACAGATGCTATGGTAACCAGACTTCGGCATGAGCTCTGCAGGAGCACCGAGGCAGATATGAGCCATTTAGGGTGCCAGGACCGCACTGGATACTTTGATGAAATCATTTTCTCTTTCACAGCTCATCATTGCAAGATACAATCTTACATTTGGAGGCTTAAAGCTAATTCTTATGACGCAGCTCCTCCTTTTGAAAGGACACTTATGAGCAAAGTGTGTTTTTTGATGTCCCTAGGATAAAAGGCGAAACAATGCCGGTAGCGTCCGATCTGCCTGCACGTGTTATTATATTAGCTCCTACTGTGCAGCAGGCTCCTTCCATTAAACAAACATGTTAATGAATGTTTGTTTTACATTAGTGTCAGTTTCTGCCCTTGTGACTCCCTCAGTGCAGCCAAGCAGAACGATGTGCGCTGATGCAACTGCATTTAGCCGCAGAATATATTTTCTCAACAGGATGTCATCAGGAGGTTTAAATATTTATCGCATTTAATAGGGTCAGTTAGAAAAAGTATGCTTTATTTCTCTCTCTCTCTCTCTCTCTCTCTCTCTTGCATGTTTCATAGTTATTCTTGATTGGTAACTGATAGTTTTTCTTAGACTGTGGCTTCGATTCTTCCACATGGCCTGGTTCACATGCCTCCTCATGATCGTCTCGTGCATCAGTGGGCTTTGCGCCGGTATTCTCCTGGCCCACATACGACAGCCACGCGCTCCGACTTCAGCACTCAGGGGGTTAACGGCTTTGATTCAGGCTTATTCATTTAACCATATGGGTTCTAGATGGGTTGAAAGGCTATTGTTTGCTGTTTGGGTCCTATCCCTTTGCCACCCCCCACTTTAATGCACACACACACACGCACACACACACACCTACACACACACGCATAGATATAAATTTCCTCTCGGCAGGGGAGATTGATTGTTGCCCTTAGATGCAGCCTTCAGCCTTGTGCGTTGGCAAGGCAACAAGGGGACGCCGCAGATGTCAGGAGGAAATTTGATTTGAGATTTTGTGTTAAAAAATTTGCAGCTGCTTCATAAGGTTTCGTCTTCATAATTGACATATCAAAGCGCGTGACGCCCTCCCTGCTTTTAGCTTCAACATCAACACAAAGAAAGATCTTCTTTACAGCTGCACGATCAAAATGATTTGAAAGATTAGTGGTGTGAGATTATTTGGCCCGAAGGAGAATCCTTAAATGCAAATTTTGACTAAACAGAGGATTTAGTCCAAATTATTTTTAAGCGAAAAGCACGCACAGAGATGAGCAGTAGCCGATTTCTCTTTGCCACAGTGATCTCGTCCTGTTGTTGTGTTACGTGTGCTAATTTAGATAAAGCATCCATCAGTGACTCGAGAGACAACAAATCGCCTGTAAATGATGTGCAGAATAATTCCAGTTATTAGGAGGTGATACTGGGGATGGGTACTGGCGGCTGGTTGTCAGGACAACAGCAGAGAGACAGACAGGGCGTAGATTGCGGTCCAAATGAACGGTCATGCATGGTGAGACAGTAAGGCAGCCTCCTGGATGGATCACGCTGCACCCATTAAGGGCCCAGAGCGTGCCTGATGCAGTCCCAGTTTTTAAACAAATCTGTATGCATGTTGAGTAAAAAAAAAAAAAAAAAAGCCTTTAATATTTAATTTAATACAGAATATTCTATAATTAATTTGGTTTGGGAGGTACAAGAGTTTGTGCTTGCTTGTAAAAAAAAAAAAAATGTTTTAACACCCAGAAGATAATTTAATAATACATTCACACAGGGCAGATATATTTGTATTATTACTAGCTGTTTAAGTTTCAATATTGTAAAAGCCAATCTAATAGTTCATAATGAACAGCTAAATACACATCTGATAGTTTCCTAGATATCCAAAATCTAAAACTGTGGGGGGGGAAAACAGCTGGATGAAAAATGGAATAAATGAAAGATACTTTTATTTTAGTTTTAGCTATGACTGTCTAAAACAAAAGTGACATTGTTAATGATATGCAAAAGTTTATAACATTTCATAAGTTATTATGTTGCTTAAATTAATTAGATTATTCAGACAAGTAACCAAGACGCCTTTGGCATAGAAGCTACAGAGAGCTGCACTTCAAATGAAAGAATATCTGAGTTAACAAGGCAGCTATAAATCTGGTCCAGATTAAGAAATGGTAATACCAACACATTTTTTGGAAAGAAAGCAATAGAAGTCTTTGATTATATTGTTCACCACAAGTAATGAAAGGGGAACATTTTAGAGAGGAAATCTAACCAAACATATTATCTCTAAAGTAAAACATGGAAATGGCACCATTGTGTCTGGAGGGAAACGTTTTTAGAGGCTTCCAGCAGGACAACAAACCAAACCATACAGACAGCGCAGTGATGAAATGGTTTAGGCCAAAGAATATTCACTCTTTTGGATGAGCCGGTCAATGTCCAACGAAGAATCTGCAGCAAGTTTTGAAAGTAGAGCAATTAATTATTTCTGCAGATGTGCAAAGCCGATGGAGACATGCCCTGAAAGACTTTAAGCTGTTACCTAGAAAACTGTGTATAATTTATGTTTCTCCCTCTACACAAACATGCACAGCTGCGTGTTGATCTATCTAATAAAATCCTAATAAAATACATTTAAATGTAGAGTTGTAAAATGACAGCAAACCGACAAACCTGAAGGGATGTAAATACTTTTGCAAGGCATTTGTTTAAGAAGATTTCTGAGGTGCTTTTCTTGCTTGTCATTTTCAGAAAAACTCTTTGCCAAGAAGAACATATGTCCGTTTTTTTTTTTTTTTGTTTTTTGTTTTTTTTCGAAAAGAAATGAGCCTCAGAAAGACAGCTTTGCCGGCTTACAACTGTGGACTGCTGTGGAGCATTTCAGAGTGTGTGTTTTTGGATCCGCCTCTTGATAAGTCTTTCCACATAAAGTTTGTCTCGTAAATTATTCCGAGCTGAGCGTGCAAAGTGAGAGGAATAAAATCCCACCATTTCGTCTACAATATACACAAAACGTATCAAAAAAGCAATACGTTTTTGCAGGAGTAAAGAGGTGTTTTTAATAAACTGTTTTACGGCAAAGTGTCGCACAGTTACTAATAATTCAACTTAAAATAAAATTGCATGACCATCGTTACTGTATTTGTTGAATGCTGACGGCGGGTTTTGATGCCTCCCCCTGATTTCGCTCTGTTTGTCTCTCAGGTTCATGTGGCATTTGAAGCAGCTCTCTGGGGTCGCTGTCAGTCGCTGTGGATTCGTGTCTCTAGAAGAGCCCATACCCCCCGTCTTCCTCCTCGGCCCCGCTTCCAACTCACCATCTCTGTCACACGACAGGTCGCCCCTTGTCCTCCTGCCCAATTTCCAGCTCCGAACTCCGCTGAGATGGACACCGAGTCGACCCACTCCGGCTACTCCAGTCGCTCGGGGAGATCAAACCGCCACGGGTATGCTTCCCGTCCGTAGGCCTCATCGTCTGCCCATCAGCTTCTCTGCTGGAGACATCTAGCATGAGTTTGCTTTCTGTGATCACACACCAGCCTGAGCTGTTGCATTTTTTTACTGGTTTCTTTTTTGTTTGTTTGTTTGTTTCACTCATCACCCAGTAAATGAGGTGAGAGACAAAAATAGCAGGGGATTGATATGGAGGATTAGGGCCGTATTTATCAAGGGCATAGCAATCAGCGTTTTGTGGCTCATGATGTTCTCAAATCTATTTTAGCTTTGTCAGTTTTATCCAGCTTTGTCAGTGTTGCATCCAAGCCTTCCTGTCTAAACTTATTTTTATGGTAGAAATGGGAAATGAACTGTTTGTATAAATCCCATGGTTTTTTCTGTTCCAAAACAGAAAATGTTACATAGATTATCAGTATGACACTCACTATTACACTTTTATTAATGGCATCTATAACGCGTATTTATTTATTTATTTTTTTTATTTTAACACATAGACTGATTCAGTACATTTGAATGATTATCATTCAGATGCACTGAATAGTTTAGTTAGTTTTTAGTTTAGTTTGAATGATAGTTTAGTTTAGTTTAGCTTTTATCTTGCTCTTTGTGCCAATGTCCCCTTTTCCGTTCTGCTGTGTAATACAAGTATCTAAATATTTGCTTTATTTGCTTGATTTTGCCTGATTTCCGACAAGGTGCTTGTAGCTTCTTGATGGGTGGCACTCTGTTAGTTTCCACATCATGACTTTTCTGTGGTTTTCTTGGACAGAAATATTTTAAAATACCCAAATTTAAAATTGAACGCAAGATATTAAACCATGAAAATAATGTCCACGCAATTCCTTAACCTTTACATTGTTGTTCTAGTGGCTCTCTTCGTGATTGTTGCATAGAATTAGTCATTGTGTTTGTCGTTTCTGTTAATCTCCCTGTTTTTAGGGAACGTAGCCGCGACAGACACAAAGGCGGCAGCAGCAAAGACAGCAGTCGCTCCGAGAGATCTGTCGTGATCAACCCGCCCGACACGCCATCCCAGGACTCCCCCGTTCACAACGAAGAGCCGCTTCCCGGAGAGCCGTCAGCAGCAGCGGATCCTGGAGATGAGACCCAGGTATTTGCTCGCATGCCGCCTCCTTCGGTGCACACCCTGCAGCGAGCCGAAACTAAAGACACGTAGCCGAAAATCAAGAACAGCAAATGAGTGGCGGTTACATTCATGTATTCCAGACATCCGCTCTGAAATTGTCTCTGTGGCAATCACATTATTTTTAGAACAAATCCGGTAATCCTCGTATGAACTTTGTATGCTGACCTTATAAACTCATGCTCCCGACACAGCTGGCTTTCCACCGCCTCATATAAAGTAACAATGGTCACTCAAGATCAAATAGGTCAGCGGATTAGCATCGCTCTTTGAGGCGTGGATGGATTCAGCGCCGAGTTACACTACACATGCCGGTCTTGCTGTGTGGGATCGTTGTGAACAGGAAATAATAAAAAAAAACCACTAGAAGTAATTCAGTGAGGCTAGAGCAGTTTAAGGAAATTAGCTTCTACTTGCAAATACATAAAACGAACGCCTAAGCAGGCTCTTGGAAGAAAAGCTCGCGGGTGCTTTAAATATGAAGATCGTGATGCAAAGAAACTGTTCAATATTTTTTGGCTGAGCTTTAGATAAGAGGATTAATGTGGCTTCTTTGTACCATGCAGTGAGAACAAAAACTGGAAACAGCCTATCTCTGTTCCTAGATAATGACTTCCTATGGCTTTATTCTCACTGTGACGCCCCCCCTCTGTAAGATCGTGGTTTGTTGTTTTTAAATTTTGAGCTACAGGTGTTTCCCAAAATGCCTGACTTTTGTGCACCAAAGCTAAAGACGGTGCAGAAATAGGAAAAAATACGTGGGAGAAGAGAAGCAGAGTCTCTTCTTATAAAGGACTTTGCCTGGGGCGGCCTACACCGTGTCTCTGACCTAGTTGGAATGAGTCTAAATTAGAAAAGCATCGTCTTATTTTTTACTCGTCTGTATGTCAGGGAGCCATTTGATTCACGCGCAAGCAACTGCACTTTCTCAAAGTTTCTCTTCAGTCATATATTTTGGTATTTCTTTAGACCTATTCCACCGTCTCTCTGCTCTCTGTGCCCTTCTGGCGGCAAAGTGACATTCCACACATTCCCCATTGGCATGTGATTGTCCGCTTGCGGCTCATATGCTTTGTCGGTGGTGTAAGGTGATCCGCCATTGTGCTGCGTCTTGCCCACCAAAAAAATGTGTCCAGCAGCAGCAGCACTTTCGTTACTATCTCCATCACCCACGTTCGCTCTGTTCTGGGTTTTCTGGAGCGGCAAACATCGACTGGTGGAGCTGATGGAATATGAACTGGTCTCCAGTGGAGAGAGAGAGAGAGAGAGAGAAAGAGAGAGAGAGAGAGAGAGAGAGAGAGAGAGGCAGAGAGGCTGTGATTAGCTTGAGTTTCCTGCCAAACGCCACTTTGGGGAAAACTGATATGAATAATCCTCCGTGTTTATTACATGCACAGCGTAGGGATATACTCTTAGAGTGGAGTTTGTGTGTGTTTGCCTGCGTGTGCGTGTGTGTGCGTGTGTGTGTGTGTGTGTGTATGTGTGTGCGTGTGTGTGTGTGTGTGTGTGTGTGTGTGAGTCACAGAGAGTCTGCTGCTGAGCCTGTCCATGCCGCTTTGTGAGAGACGTTGTGCCAGGAGGAAGCAGCTTCAGTTTCCTCGCACTGTTAACTCAGGCAACACCAAAGCATATGTTACTCTTATAGTGTGTGACTACTTGTCTCTTTAGCTTTTTGCCTGAGCGGATGTCCAGATAACTACTCACAGCCTCGAGACATGAACAGCTTCTAATTTGATGTATTAAAAAAAAAAAAAAAAAAAAACCCCCAAAAAAAAAAAGAAAAGCCTAATTTAAAGAAAAACAGTCAGACTATGTGGCATTGAACCATATCCAACATAAACAACCAACATGTAGCGCGTCATCCGGAGCAGTGCAGGCCTGGGCCACTGTGCTTTGCAGTTGGCAGAGGATTTGCACTGTGTCGCTGTGCTTTGTTAACGGTGGGTGTGGGCCGATCGTCCATACTTACCCTCTGCCAGATCTCAGAACCATGCCAAGAAACAATTTGTAGACGTTGTATTCTCTCTCACCTCTTACTTTGTTTTCTACACTTTGCCTGGCGAATCAGCTCTTTTGCATTTTGTTTTGTGCCAGAGACATCAAAACTCTGTTTTATATGCTGACCCAGCACAGAGTTGTGCATAATTGCTATGTAGAAGAAAAAATATGCATGTTTTTTCCACATTTTGGGACTATGGTCTGCTCCAAATGAGCCATTTTGTAGAGCCATCTTTTTGCTGTAATTACAGCTGCAAGTTTAAATAGGTATGTTACCACCAGCTTTCCATCTCTAGAGATTTAAATGGCTAGGGTTAGGGTTCTTGTTTGAACCTCTTTGCTCTTGTTTGTGAAATGCCTCAAGCTCATTCAGATTGGATGCAGAATGCCCTGCCATAGATTCTTATTTGGATTTGAGGTTTGAAATTTGGCTGTGCCATTCTAACACCCGAACACGGCGCTTTGACCTAAACCAATCAGTAACTCTAGCTGTAGGTGTTTTACTCATCTTCCTGTTGAAAGGTGAACATCCATGCCAACTGATGTTTACTTTCCATTGGTCTTTTGATTCTTGGCCTGCCTGCCAGTTTAATTGGATAACCATGTCTTGGATTACACAGTCCTCATTGAGTCATTCCAAGCTTGACATACAGATTTATGACCTAACTCTGCTTTGAACTTCTCCACGACTTCTGACCTTCCTGTTGTTGTCCTTGGTCTTCGTTCTGGTGTGTCTTCACTGATGCTCTCCAATAGAATCCTTTACAGAACAGCTGTAATTATTCTGGGTTGAAAATGTGAAATAGCTCAAGGGATATCAATAAATACTTTTGCAGTTCCCAGTAAGGATGACATTTGAATAATGTCTTACTTTAACACATAGATAACTGATACATTTTTTTACCAGCTAAATGAGGTAAAAACTATATTTCAAAACTTGACACTGCAGTCATTTTGCTGAATTGTTTGAATTGAATTTAGAAATAAAACTTTGATGTTCTCATATTTGTTTATCTAAAATGACTACATCAGTGTATCCAGCTTACATGTTCATTTTATTATGACTTCCTCATACAGAATCATTTCACTCACTTATGACCATTTATGCTAATATGAAAGCAGGGTCCCACCGAAAAGGGGATTGATTTGAGAAAAACTGAAGAAAAAAAATCACTTGACAGAAACTAAAATGAACCTTAAAGGAAGCAGGAGTGTTTGGCTGGAAGCTTTCCTCATTCATTAGCCTTATAGACGCATAACAGGATGAACTACATCTGCACCCCACTCCGCTCCAACCTTCCCTTCTCCCTGCTTCTCTGCTCTTGAATTGCACCTTACCCACTTCCATCCCCCTATCCAACTTCCCTTTCCTCTGCTTCTTCTTTTTTTTCATGCTCATTTATCTTCTGGCTCCCGTTGGCATCCCCTCCTCCAGCGAGGCTGAGTTAATTGGCTGTTAACTGCAGTGAAGGACAGAGTCTGGGCTCATTTGGAGTCTTTTTGCAACTGTAATTTGAAGCCTTGGTTTATATATATATAAAAAAAAAACAATAACAGTGCATTCATAATCTGTAACTGTTCATTTAAACCACCCAGTGGACTGAGATGACCCAGTATGCAGTGAGATAAATACTCTCCAGACAGATGAGCGTTAATGTGACCGTCTGTTGTCTGGTTTTCCAGCATCTCCGAGGCATTCTCTGGCTCTGTGTGCTGCTTGATGTGCTTCGGTGTATGTATGTCTGAATGCGCACGTGTGTGATGATATGAAGGCTCTTCTGTTCAGCCTGTCATTTTCCCCGGCTCTCATCCATCCGTGTCTCTGCAGCTGCTGCTCCTGTGAATGGTTGTTGCTGGCACAACACGGCAGCACTCTTTGGGGACAATAATTAGCTGCCTGAATTAATGACACGCAAACAACAACAAAAAAACCTCCACTTCCTGCACATTCATTCTGCCTGTCTGCGTGCTTTTGTTGGAAATGTTTATGTTTAAAAGAGCCACAACTGTTCAGATACAATAAAAGAGACTGCCCCGTAATGACGCACAACTGAAGCTGCAGCGTTTGTTGTTGCGATTCGGAGTCTGTGTTTGTGAATCTTGGCATGTAGGTGTGTGTGTGTGTGTGTGCGTGTGTGTGTGTGGACGGGCTTTCTGAGTTATGCTGCTGTGCGGATCTTCCTTCACATCCCTTTCTGTCACTTTGAATTACTGCAGCAAGATTTTTAAAGCCTAAAAATGATGAGCTAAAGCAAAAAAAACAAAAAAAAGACTCCAAATAACACAGAGCATGTGCTATTTAAATAAATATGAAAATGTCCCATGCTGTAAGCTATTTGCATAATACATAAAATCTATTGTGTGAGCCTGTAAGTAAATTTTTTATGTTTGTTTCTCATAGATTATTCTGAGGAATGTTCTAAATCTTTCTAGAGGTATCTGGAACATAGCTGCTGTGTTGTCAGCCCAATACTAATTCATGTTTTAAGGTTCCATAAAGCACAATAAAAACTCCAGTGTGAATTACAAGAGGGATCATACAAAAAGGAAAGAATCAGTATCTAAAGTTGCTTGTAATGAGAGTTTTCCACAACAGCCTTCGCTTTATATTTGACTCAGTTCCAGTTGTAAGTGGGATTGTCTGATTGTTGTGCTCAGTCACCAGGGTAACCGTCATTTTGCTTCCTCGTCTGTTGTTTCCATTATTTTATATATTCACATTGCTGTTTTGTTCCTTCTCACTAATGTTTTGTAGTCTTTTACTTTAACTTGTTTATATCAGCTCACACTTTTTGTAGTTAAGTGTTCAAATATAATTTGATCAAGATGTATATTATTTTCTGAAAACTTTACCCAGTTTGTCTATCTGTCTGTCAGTTTGTGTAAAACTGACAGACTGCATCCTCTGATCAAACTAAAATAACGTTAAGAAGCATTTTGTTAGTAGATATTATTAAAAAGAGTCATAAACCCACAATTCCTTACATGATATTTTGAGCAGAATATGTAAATTATTTTATTCCTTTATTGTTAGGAATTATTCCTGACAGACACTGGTTGAAACATGAATGGTACAAAACATTATGCACCACCCATGTCTCTGTTTTTCAGAATTAAAAAATTTAAGTAAGAAATTATCAAAACAACAAAGTGACTAACACCTGTGTTGTGACAAAATATAACCACCTAGGAAGTTTGTACTTGGTTCTCAGAACAATTTCAATTATCATCTAGTTTACTACTGTAGGAAAGTAACTGTGTAAAGAATCGTGATTTATCATTAAGATGATAATTTACATTTAACACAAAAGTAAAAATCTGACTTATACTTCGTGGCACTTGGTTACCAGAAAAAAAAGCTAATCTTTTAACACCAAATTAAAAACAAGTAATATTATTGTTTATAAAACGTAAGCTCTTTTGAAATACTGCTTATCTGCATAGACACAAGAAATCTACAGTTGGTAAATGCTGAACGCTGAATTTTGCAAAAGTAAAACTCTGATGTTTTAATTTTGAATTAATTTTTATCTTTAGCACAAAAATATGTACATATTTTAAAGCCACTAGCACCGAGGCCTAAACTAAACAAACAGCAGGATTTTCATTTTTTTTTATTGTATTGCTAAAAGTAATTAGCAATACAAGCATGCAGCAACATTTTTCTCAGCATTTTGCTGTGAGAATCCATCAAGCAGGCTGAATATCTTATTTGCATGCAATATGTGTATTCATGATTCTTTGACCATATTGCATGCAAACAAGCTCTTGCTATTTTAATACAACAGACACTAATAATGTAAAGACAATATTTGCGATGTATTGTGCAGCCCTGCATGGCAGCTATGTTGATATTGACTTAAACAACAAGCCTCCACAATTTGTATGTGTAACTTGTACAATTTTGGAGTTGTAGTGGGGAACAGTAGCATTTGTCTATAAGTACACCAGGCGATTTAACTTCATTTTAATAATTACAAACTCAAAGTCTTCGGAGAGTTGTTTTTTTTTTTTTTTTTAACATTATAGAAGAGTCTGATTGCAGGTGTGTAAAGCTTTAGTCCTTAAATCTTGGCAGAGCGCTTAGGCACAGTGCTGGCTGGTGAAACGGTTGTGTCACATCACCTATATTATTCTGTCGTTTCCACACATCTGTTCTCCTGTCAGAATGAATAACTCAATTTTATTCACTTTTATTTCAGAGCTGTCGGAAATTAGCATTTCATCAGTATTCCTCTACAGAAAGATTTGTCCATAAACTGAATTAAATAATACCCATTTCCTCTGAACACAACGTCTATATGCTTGAGAGTAGGTTTTATATGCTGGAAAATAGAACATAATGACTGAAAATCACCTTCAAAAGGATATATTTTAAACAGCAGTAGCCTCCAAGAAAAGACATACGTACTTATCACCTGAAGAATAAATAAAGGCTGCACTTTTATCATATTTATATGTAAAATGGTGATTCCTAGCTGCATTGTAAAGGAGGCTGTCAGCAATCTAGAGATTGCAATGCAAATCGGAAGTGTTTCTGTTTATCTGGGGCAGAGATCAGAGCGGTTCCAGCCTGGAGCCAGGCCTGGTAGAAAGAGTCTTCCTTTGAAAACGTTTCATGGAAATGTCCACTCAGCTGGATTTGCAGCTCAAAACAATACGGGGTGGCATGGCAAAAGTGTTTGACCTCTGACCATTTTTTTTTTTTTTTTATGTTTTTGCTTTTTTTTCCCAAGCTGAAATGTTTCAGACCATCAACTAAATTTAAAATGAGGAAACAGCTGACCTCAGTAAATATGAAAAGCTGTTTTCAAATGAACAAAACTCACCAAAGCAATCTAGCACAATCTCAACATTTGGTTAATCTACTGTACTGTGGCAAAGGTACACTGCATGCAAACAGGAATGTGATGTAATTTATATGTAAAACACTCATTGCCATGCAAGGTTGGCAAAAAGCAGCTACTAGATTTATTAATATTAAGCTGAATTTGAGGATCTGAAAAAAATTAAGTGTAATGAAAAGCAAAACCAGCTAAAATCTGTAAGGGATCTAATACTTTTCATGCTCATATACCTTTAAAATTCAACATATCAAAGGTTTCCAATGAGGGTAAACTGTTCTGCCATCGACAGCCCGGTGCATCCAAACAGCAGGCGCCTTTAAAGATCTTTTCCTCTTTCTTTTGTTCCTACTTTTCTTTCAGGATGATAACTGGGGAGAGACCACAACAGCTGTTACAGGGACATCTGAGCTCAGCATCTCCCAAGAGGAAGTGGTTGGCCTCGGAAAAGAGATACAGGATCGAACTCAGGGCTTCCGGCGATATCTCCCCCTGGCTGTGGGCTCCTGTGTGGGTCTGCTGGTGCTAGCCACACCCTTGGTCTTCCTGCTTCTCCCGGTCGTAATGTGGCCGGACAGACTGCAGGCTTGCGGCGCAGCTTGTGAGGGCCTGTTCCTCTCCATCTCCTTCAAAATCCTCATCCTCCTGGTTGCCGTTTGGGCCTTGTTCCTTAGGCCAAGCCGGGCCTGCCTGCCCAGAGTGTGTGTGTATCGGGCCTTTCTCACCACCCTCACATTGCTGCTCACCATGTCCTACTGGCTTTTCTACGGGGTCCGGATCCTAGATGCACAGGTGGGCTTCGCACAATGCCATTATTGTTGTTAAACATCGTGTTTTATGGCATTCACAACCAACCGACTTATTTTTCCACACTTCAGACAGCAAAGAAGTTTCAATATATCAGTTATATTGAAGACCACTGTTACTCTTTACACGTTTCATACGGGAATACAATATATTTTGATCCTTATTGTTTTTACAATAGAGAGCAGGCTTGAGGATTTCAGATTTGAAAGTGCAGATTAGTCCCTGTAGCTTCAGAAACGGAAAGTTAAACAGGTTGGGTGTTTGATGCAGAGAAAAAAAAAATGTCTTCAATCCCCAGTGCTTTCTGGTTTGGGGTTTACAATTATACAGTACTCCTCCTGCCATGGAAGCCTGCCCGGACCTCCTGGGGAGCGAGGATGCTGCTGAGTGTAGTAGAGGCAGAGTAAACACGGAGAGTGGTTGCCAGCTACTGGCAGGCAGAACTGTTGGCTCAGAAACATTAGCAAAGATAATATTTACTGTGTAAAGAAAAAAAGAAAGAGACGCTACCTGCAACTTTGTAGGGATAAGAGAGTTCTCATTTTGAAAAGCAAAATTACTAATTATAGTTGTAATGACTGTCACAGCTGGACTCGGCCATGACTTATTGCAGATACTGAGCTCACATTGGTGTAACTCTCATTAGCAAAATGTATTACAATAAAACAATGAACATTGCTCAACAATTTTCTTTTCCCCACTGATGTTATTCCTCAATAAATACAGATTATTTTCTCTTGCTTCTTTCCGTCACAATTACATATTTCGAGTCGACAAATAAATGTTAATGAAAAAAACAAACACTCCATTCAGTTTATTGGAAATTCTTGTGTGATTTAATCAGGATGAAGATTACCATGGCATCGTCCAGTTTGCCGTGTCTCTGGTGGACTCCCAGCTGTTCGTTCACTACCTGGCAGTCGTACTGCTGGAGCTCCGTCACCTCCGACCCTGCTACAGCGTGTGCGTCATCCGCTCCACAGACGGAGAGACACGCCACTACAACATTGGACAGCTGAGGTACACACAAACACACACACACACACACACAAGGCCGATGTTATAATCATAAAAATGACCTACAGTGACTCTGGAGACAAATTCTTCAGCCTGATTTCTTCTGTGAATACGGCCTCTCAGTGCAGTCCACACTGAGACACACGATGGCTAGTTGCTACGCACGTCTTGCTGAAGTATGAGTGTAATCGGAGGCTCATGTCTGCAGGGAAGACTGGCACAAGCTGTAATCAAGTTACTCAAGAGTCTCGTTAGTGTGAGTCAAGGAGTTTCGGGGAGGACTGACAGCGGAGGACACGGTGCTCATAATGTCTTATTCTGGCAAGAAGAACTGTATTAATGTAAGGTTCATAAACGTAACAGTTTATAATAAGTCTAATTGGCTCCAAATGGGTTTTTGATGAATGGTACTGAGGGCCTGAGCAGCTTGGTATGCCCTCATGCCTTACTTTGTTAGACCTTGTGTTAACTGGCAGAAAATTGTGGCATTCACTGTACACACAAAGTTTACTGAATAGTTTTAGGAAGTAAAACCGAAGTGAGTTGAGTTTGCAATTTATATGTACTCTTGAAACAAGTTCTTCACTTTTCATTTTGTCACAAGACTATTCACGCCCCTTGAACTTTTCTTCATTTTGTCGCGGTAGAACCACAAACCCAAAGTTCTGAATCGCTGTCATTCTGAATGCACTTTTGAAGTGGAATGAGAATGATTAAAGATTTTCAAAATATTTAAGTCCTACAAAAAAATTGAAAAGTACTACATGTCCCCCAGTAAATATTGACTTTTTTTTTAAAAAAATAGTTCAAGTTAATTCAGACCCTAATCTATAATTGATTTCCTGTCGAGAGTCTCCGCCACCTGAGCTTTTATTCTTTATTTACTTATCATTTTAAATTGTAGAACACAGAAAAACAATCATTTACGTCAAGATGGAGTAAATATTTTGTCATACATTGTAAAGGGTTATTTGTCAAATTCAGGTAAAAAAAAAAATTATAAATCTCTAATTCGTTTACTGTAACAATCCAAAGCCGCATTACAAATAGATGTTTTGTTACTGAATTTCAGGCCAAGATTAGCAAATCAGAACAAATGCAAACTTATATTTATATTTATATTTATATTTTCTCATTCTTCTGTCACACAGCGTTCAGCGAGCTGCTTTGACCATCCTGGAATATTATTACAGAGACTTTCCTTTGCACAACCCTGCCCTGCTCTCTGCCTCTAAACACAGAACTGCCAAACACCTGGCTGGTCTAAAGGTCTACAACGTGGACGGTAGGTCACCTCAAATGTGACCGAAACTTTGCTGTCCAGTAATGGCAATGAATTTTGTGACATCCATAATTGCATAATAGACCATTTGGAGGATTACATACACGGACTGTATTTGTGGGTCGAGGTAATGCTTATATGAAATACATTAAAAGTGAAACCTACAAATGGTGTTGCCCTGTGACTGACTGGTGACCAGTCTATGGATGAATAAGTGAATGCTTCTCTGCAGCAGCAAATTGTTTTCTTGTGACCAAATGTTGTAATATAAAAACCTAACCTAGAAGTCTTTATCCTTTTAATTTGGGAGCCATTTTAAACTTCAGTATTAGCTAGTTTTGTTGAAAAACTAAACGATCAGTTGCAACAGTAAAATGAGAGAAAAAGTTGCAAAAGTCTAAAGACAAAGAAGACCAGTTCCAACAGGTTCGGCGAAGAGCAAAAGATGATTTAAGACGTTTACACCACATTTTATTTCATGGTTTAGCTGCTTCATCTTTGCCACCTCAGAATAAAGATCATAGTGCATTGCCTGCTCACTCTCACTGCAGCACCTTGTCGCACTTTAACATATTGCTCCCCATAACCAGTGTCACATTTTGTGCTCTCTCCTGCATCTTAAAGGATCTTCCACTCACTGACCATTAATCCTCCACCCACTGCAGAGCTCTGGATTTCTTGATCCTTCGCGGCGATGTAGTGTGGATGGAATACAGTGTCCTCGTAGTAATCTTCCCCCATCCCTATCAGAGCATAACGGAAAGCCCTCTAGGGGGCCGTGGAGTTTCATGCCTTAAATAATTCATCAGAGAAATGCTCGTTTCTCACATTCTCCTACATCTCTCCTTCCTCCGCTCAGCCTGTCTCCAGCTCCGCCTGTTCTGTCCCTTTTTAACTTTCCTGTCAACCCCCACGCATGGCTTATTCTTCCCTGCTCCATTCATCCACAGTCACTACTCTTATTATAGCACGTATAAGTAGGCCAGGAGGTAAAGAGGGTGATGGGTTTTTTTATGTAGAAAATGCACAATAAATAGGATGATTCACCTATTTTTCATCACTGCATTTAGCGTCTTTTTCTGAACTGCAGATGCGTCAACACTCGCATATGCAGATCAGGTTATTAATGATTTATATCCTCACCTGACCTGTAGCATTAACTCGACCACCTCCCCCTAACTTTACTGATCCGCATGCTTGAAAAAAAAAAAAAAAAACAACCGCGCCCACATTAATAGCTGATGAAATTCAGTGCCACTACAAGTTTCATTACGCAAACCATTAAATGCAGTGAATGTCATCAGACATGGACATTGACCTTTTATGTACACATCATGTCAATTTACTTTAAACCACACCCAATGAGATGCTTTCCGTAACAATTTAAGTTACTTTTATCGGTTGCTATTAATAAAACAATCTGCAAATTAGACTGGAAGAATGTCCCTAATATTAACATACAGAGTCCAGAAAACCTGTTTTCTAAAAACTTAGATGAGCATAATCCTGACCAGAAAAATTCATACTCATTCATAAGTTGTCCACCTTCTATGATTACATCTGATTTCACTGTTGTTTTCTGCGTTGTTTTCTCGATGCCCATTCATCACTGGCGTGAGGTCCACCACCAGTGATGACGGGTCAGGAAGCTGCTTCGATATAATCAGTTTACCTCTGTTCTCTCCTGGCTTTAGCCCCAGGGAGTATGGCTGCAGCTCAGCCCAGCAATGGAAATCAGTCACGGCCCATGGTTACACCTGCCACCAAACGCAAAGACAACGCGCACAGTGAGCTATACTATGAGGAGGCAGACTATGAGAGGAGAGTCCGCAAGCGAAGAGCCAGGTAAGAGTCAACGTCAAACCAACGTACGTTTATAATACATTTTCAGCAGACCGGGCCATTGGAGCAAAACTCTGAACAAAAATGTTCCTAATTAGAGTCCTGGAAACCAAAACGCCGCAGGACATTGTCCCAGTGGTGGCACAGATTCTCTAACAGCCGTTTCCAAATCCAGTGTTACAGACCCACTGAGAGCGGGTTGCTTTTCTGCCCAAATGTAACAGGATTTATGTTTCGGGGGGTTTGGGAAAAAGGGATAAGTCAGAGTCCTTTTTCTAATGAGGTCGCAGAATATTACACAGACAGAAATAGTGACAGAGTCTATTGTGGAAAAATGTTCATGGAAAACCTGAATTTAAATTAGAACAATCAAAGTTAGCTACACACAGCTACTATTTATGCACATTATCATCAAAAAGCCTCTGGTAAAGAGTGGTTAAATGAGCTGTATGATTAATGTTAATAAAATCATCATAATACACCAGAAGATAAACATTTGCTCTATCATACTTCTGTGTTATTCTCTACCGTATCACAGTTGTCTCGGGTCAAGATCAGTGTTTTAATAATTTCACAAATGGCCGTATGTAAAAGTAATTCCCATATCTGTGGGTTTAATCAGGCTGGTGGTCGCCGTTGAGGAGGCCTTCACACATGTCCGGCGCATGAAGAAAGAAGATGAGAACGCAGCACCGTCTGACATCATGGATGTTCGCGAAGCCGCTCTGGCCGTATTTCCCTCGATGGCTCGTTCCCTGCAGAAATACCTCCGCACCACCAGGAGGCAGCACTGCCACAGCATGGAGAGCATCCAGAAGCACCTGGCTTTTTGCCTAGTGAATAACATGAGTCCTAAGGTCAGTCTGGTTTATGTTTGTTGTCATGTTGGACAGAATTATTGAAACTTCGAATGAAACACTGCCTGCTTAACGAACACTTTCACTTTCTGTCAAGCTGTTGATTTAAATTACGCCAAGTATTTTCTTTTTCATCCCATACTGAGTATGACTGTAACTTTTTTTTTCCCCCTTGTGTCCAGGCCTTCCTTGAGGCATACCTTGCTCCAGGTCCGACCCTGCTGTACGGCCCCGAGCGCTGGATGGCCGATCAGTGGACTTTGATCAGCGAAGCTTCGGTCACCAGCGGCATTAAGGAGGGAACAGAGTTCCTGTTGAAGTGTCTCGATTTTAGTTTAGCAGTCACAGTCAAAGGCATCCCGTACATCCGTTTGACTGAAGAGTACATTGACCCCAAATCTCACAAGTTTATACTGCTGCTCCAATCAGAAACATCTGTTTAGTAGTGACGCAGTGCAGCGGTGCTGCTGCTCTGTAAAACACAGAACTTTTGCAGTTGTCCAGCTGAATTTTTCCAAGGAAAACATTTTGTACCGTTTTTGTACTTATGCGTGTTGTTTTTCAAATTGACATGTTGTAGTCATCGTGACGGACTGGAATGAGGACGAAGGGTTGAATAGCATTTCTTTCAGAAAGCATTTGCAAGGCTCACTTTAGTTATTCATCTCTTGCACTCTGAAAAGCACTACTGTTGAACTTTTTAACATTTTGTAATATTTTAACCACAAATTCCAGTTCATTTCATAGGGATGTTATGCAGCAGGTAAAATTATCATATGAAATGAAAGAATACACGGCTTTCAATTTTAGCTTTCATAACCGCTCAGTAAATAGGCTACTTTGTCCAGCCATCTGCTGTTGAATATAAAAATACAAATATTTTGCAGTGTGTCTTCACAGCTTGGCACATTTGGGAAATTCTTGCTCCTTCAAATTAGCTCAGATTCAGCCAGACTGGATGGAGAGCAAGTTTCAGAATTAGGACAAAAGAGGGATTACAGCATGTTCACAGCTTTTTCATAGAGGTTCACATTGGAGTCTGTCTTAAGCAATTCAATATAAAGTTAATTCTTTTTACCAGAACCTTATCACTGTCAAAAGGTCTTGAGTCATCTCTCATTAGAAGCCACACTATTTGTAATCTTTTGACGTGATTGTGATAAATTCTTGCGTAGGGTTTTTGAAGGCTTTTCAATGTTCTTTGAAGTTTAGCTGTTTTTCAAAGTCCAAAGGAAAGTTTTGAAGGAATATCTGAGAAGTATTTATCAAGGCAACCTTAAAAGATCACCCCTTACTGAAAAGGAAAATGTAAAAAAAAAATGTGTGGTTGTTTGATACTTTTACACAGTGCTTTACTCCTTTTTAACAGTAGCAGTTATTATTTATAACCACCCTGTATTACAGATGTCTGTACAGTATTTATATGTAAATATGCTTTATCCCATTTAACTTTTTATACAAAATTGTGCATTGATTGCTTGATAACTTTTTTATTTTGTGATTTTTTTTTTTTTTTTACCAGTTTGTTTATGTATGCATTATTTGATGAGACACCTGGATCACAAATAATTAAAGTCATGCAAGTATTAGATCTGACAGGAGTCTAATGAATAGAAAGCAAAGCACAGTCCAGCTGAATACTAATTTTCTAGTCAGTAAATTATGGAAAGACGCGGTTGGCTACTCTGGTCGAGTGATGTACTGTATCAATGGATTAGAACGAGGACATCCAAGATGTTTAGAAGACATAATCAGCCTTAATGAAAGTTTTTAAACTTAAAATCTATTTAGCAGATTGTTCAGTGAGGAAAAGGGAATCATGGGAGAAATAACTTGGGAGTTCTGACCAGCATTATCACTCTGATGTCAGTACTGCCATTTTCCCCTCTGTGGAAGTGTCACACACATGCCCTACTTTATGTTCTCAAACTGTGCCATCATTTTGTAAACTTATAGCGGTACTGAATGGAAGCAGCTGAAAGTCACACTTTTCCACACACTCTTAATTCATGGTTTGCTCTCGGTGGGTTTAGTCAATATAACTTTCAAATCCTTATTTCATGGAAACTGTCACGTCTGTAAGGACTTGAACTGTATGGTTTGCTTTTAAAGCCAACATGCAATTTTTCTACGCGGCCTTGCTAGGTCTGTAAAAGTGTGGAATTGTATTTAAAAAATTTTCCAAGTTTGAAAAAGCATAGCGAAATGAGAATTCAGATTACAGAAAGCTTACATTTCTAGTCTTTAAATGATACAGATCTTAATATCTGATAAATAAAGGGTCTTGTAAGTTTGGTCTGGTACATCTTAACTTGAATGTTAGTCCAACTCATTGGTAATTTTGATCTTGGAGTTACTAGAGAAACAGATAAAAAAAACAAATGCACACAAAATAAATAAGAGCAATTTCACTTCTAGATATTTATGCTTCTGTGTTTAAATCTGTGCATAAATTTCTTTAATTAATGGTAATCCAGTCAAGATTTGGCAGTATTATAGTCCATAGTTGATCTGTTGGCCCAGATGCAAAAATAAGTCATATCTAAAATAGTAAAAACCATAATAAAATAGCACATTTTTCTCCAGTAAATGCAGCCAGACCATGATGGTCTGGCTGCTAATTGTACAAGAGCTAACTCTGTTAGCTTTGCTATGAAGTGTATTTTGCTCTTGTCCTTTGACCTTCAGTTGCTAGTTTCTTGAAGCTAAGATGTTTATTGTTTTGTTATTTTGGACAACAAGTTGTTTACAACAAAAAGATTGTTTTGGGATGAGAACACTTACTCTCTTTTTCTGCATGGTTGAATTTTTGAGGAAAGTAAGAGTGCTCACTCCATTATTTTTCTGTAGCAAATAAGTAACCACAAACCTATTCAACATATCTATTCATGTTAAAATCGTAATTGTTTTTTTTTTTTTGTTTTGTTTTGTTTGGCAAGACATTTTGTGTATCTCTCTGTTTACAGCACCAACCTGCCGCACTTTGTGGTTCCAGAGGACATGTCCGAATATCGTAGTTCATTTCCTGTTTCCTGCTAACCATTAAAAAACATTTCTTAAAATATTTTTGAAGTGGACCATTTGTACTCTTAAACTGCCAATAGTTAAAGCAATTACTGAAGATGAATATTTGAGTTTGAAATTGACTGAGCAGTGTCAGTATTGCTTTTGTGGTTCATTTGATACATTACTGCCACCTGTCTACCAAGATTGGAAAAGCATCCTGAGGGTCTACCTTGACTTGAGTTGTGAGGATACTTGATCTGTCTTGTTTTTTTTTTTTTGTTTTGTTTTGTGTTTTGTTTTTGTTTTTTTGTTTTTTTTATTTATGAGGTTGGTGATTTTGTAATATCTTGAAGTGTTGCTGTGTTCAGAGAAAGTGTAGTTTTGTTTAGGAGCGTTACACACGTGCCTCGGTTATATACTGCGTTTTTAGAACCTGTGCGAGTGTGTGTTTATGTTAACATGGACAAAACCTGAGTAAAGAGACTGATTTCCCATATTTATGCAACTTACATGTCATGAGCTCCAGTTTCCCTGTCAAACCCTGTTTTATAAAACAAACATGTAAAACACAGCCAAAATGGCAAAGTTTGTAAAAAACGAAAATAAAGAAATAAAATAAATATTTGTACTGATCTCTTAAGTCCTTTGATCCTCTTCCTATCTTGTATAATTTTGTTTAAAAGGAAGCAGTGTGTTTGTGTTCTGGCTTACAATACATCTATCTGTATTATTCACAGTTAGATCCCCATTAAACACAGAGGTTATTAATTTGGAGGCTTACAAAGTCATAACATTATTTTGGCCTTTCCAAATAATCTTTGATTTGAGAAAAACAAATCATGTTAGTGATTCTATTTTGCTTCAGGAAAAGATTCATTTCATTTATTGTCAAGCAGTAACAACAGATTGCGTCATTTTATGCAGTGTATTTTAACTTCTGGTTCAATTAAATTGTATAATTCTGATCCAAGCACCATTTTAACATTTAAAGCTGCATTAGAAAAAAGTTGTGTGAAACATTAGATCAGTTTTTGCAATAGGTGAGAAAAAAGTCTTGATTTGTTCGCCTGCTGTAAAGGTGAATGCAAAAACCTGAACGATCACAGCAAAAGTACCGACTACAAGCAAAGCAATGACAGACTGCGACCGCAGTTTGCGACTGCAGAAACTGACATCAACACCATTTATTATGAAGAGTCAAATCCATATCCATTAAACATGTCCCTCATGAACATGTTTTTGTATTTTTATATTCAACCCCGATCACAGAGGTATTTACATGTTCATAAATTGTGCTGATGAATATTAAAGGTTAAAATAAGTTAAAAAGATCCGCAGGCACCGATTCAGATGATATACAGCCATTTTTTTAGTCCAAAGTTGTACAGCAGGACTGATGGAGGAAGAGCCAACTTCAAGGCAGTTAGTTATTCTTCATCATCATCGTCGTCGTCGTCATCGTCATCATCCTCATCATCTTCCTCATCTTCATCCTCTTCCTCATCATCTTCATTGTCTTCATCCTCATCATCGTCGTCGTCATCATCACGGTCGTTATCATCGTCGTCGTCGTCATCATCATCTTCGGTGTTTACCTTGCCAGAAAGAACGTCTTCAATCCAGTCCTCCAGCTGCGTTGCCGTGGGCAGGTCCTCCTCATCCTCCATTTCCAACCACACACTGTCTGCCTGCGCTCACATTGAAAAGGTTAAACTGTGTCAGGAAATGTTGTTTTGTTTTTTTTTATTATTCTGAACATCAGGTTTTGACGTTCGGGTTCGGGAGCTTACATCTGTAACATTGACGACGCCGATCTGCGGTCTGAACAGATCCACCTTAAAGGTTTTCTCCCAGTAAGGAATCAGCTGGAAGGAGTCAGAAAGGGGAGATATGATTGTTTTGCCTTTGCTCTCTGCTTCACTCACAGTTACTCTGACGTAGGAGGCGTCAGGCTCACCAGGGGGAAGTCATCAGGGTCAATCCAGATGATGCTGAGGTCAGGAAGGTGAGTGTTAGCTCTGGCAACCTCCTTCAGGATCTCTAAGAACTCATAGCCGTCTGGAAAACAGGAATGTTGTTGTTACTGTTTGGTTTCTTCAAAAATATATATTGTGATTTATAAATATATTTAAATATATAAACGTAAGTCTTTTATATTAGCTCAGGCCTGTTTAGATTGTTTATGTTCTTAAAGATGCAGATCTCTAACCTATTCAGATTATAATCAGCATTTTCCACAATGTTACATAACCTTACCTGGGTCCTCTTCCTCTGCAAAAGCCACAATGTGGATGCCCTCAATGTCATCCTCCTAAAAAAAACAAAGAGAAAGGTTTAACGCTAGCTGCTAAAAAAAAAATGTGAGAAAAACATAAAGCAAGATGAATAATTTTGCTGCTCTCTGACCCAGGTCTCAAACATATCTTCTGCACGCAGCTTTCTCAGAGTTGGTCTGGTGGCACAGAAAACACAACATCGCACGTCACATCATATCGCAACGCAGAATTGAGGTTGCAAATAGTTTAAAACATGAAATAAATCGAGGTAAGTCCACAGTTTACCGCCTGTGCTCCGTTATGAAGCCCACCAGCTCCTTCTCGGAGTGCGGCCTTCCTGGGACGGTGACGGGCTCCTCCATGAAGGGCTCATAGAAGTCCACCTCGTTCAGCTTCAGGGTCAGTTCTTTGGCCACCTTAACCAACAGAGGCAGATCAGCCAACTGTAACAGGTTCCCGATGATGACAACCTTTCATACTCTCTGTTTGACACTTACAGATTTTTCAAATGTGGCGAAGAATTTAATGTAGGGCTGGAAGTGCTCTGCAGCCTCTTTGAATGCCTCGTAATCTAAAAACAAAAACGTCAGATAAAGTGTGCGCAGCTCAGAGCAGAGGTATTTATAGTAAAGGAAGCATGTTTATTGTAGTATCCTCTTCTTTAGTCGCAGATCAGCTTGTCTGTTGCACATCAGGGAGCGGAAATAGCTCATCCTTGACCTCAGTGTGGTTCTCCCACAGATGGCCAGATGGGATAAAGCTCCAGCAGAGCTCTGACTGTATACTAGACTCAGTTTCTACTGTTTTGGCTAAATAACACTTTGTAGAAAAAAAAAAAATTATATTCCTCTTAAATTGTGGTGGTGTTAGTAGAGGCACATTTCTCACATCTCAGAAAAGCTTTTGACCAGTAATATAGTTGCTACACAAGTGTAGTTTTGATTTTCTTAGGAACATCTTAACTGTTTGGGGTCCTGTTTGTCAATTCAGTGTATGAATATGAAACTATGAAATAATCCCTGGAAATGAGAGGATTAAAATCTATTTTTACTCCAATCAAAATCAAAGGAATTCCTTTGCAAAGCTACCTAAACAAGCAAGATGTTCAGGCAGCAGAAGATCGTGCATTTTGTAAACTAAGGAACTCACGTTCAGAGTCTTCACTCTTGAAGTAGCCAACGATGCGGATGTCCTCCTCCATTCTGTCAAAGGCTTTCAGCTCCAAAGCGTTCTCTATGACCTCCACTGGCTCCTCCAAAAGCTAAAGAGAGAAGCCGAAGCAAAAAGCTTGGAGAGTGGCCTGTGTGTGGACTGGTAACTGCGACCAGCACCGATCTGAACTCAAAGCTGGAAATATGCTCCGAAACAAATCTACTCACATCCAGCAAGAACTCCACCAGAACGTTAGCAGACAGCAAACCATCGAACTCGATCACTCTGTCATCTTTAAAAACATACACACTTCCCTCCTCCTCCAAACCTGCAGTTAAAAGAAAAACAATTACAGACAAAAAGAAAGGTAAATATCTTCAATTATATTCATCTTGCTATAAAGAAAAAATGTTCTCACCTAGTTTCTTTGCAACTTTTGCGTCTTTGACTGAGTCGACCATCCCAAACCCGATGTCCTTCTCCTCCATGACCTGAGCAACAAGCTGAAAGTCGAGGAAGAAATATTAGGGAGAGTTAAAGTGAAGGAAAAGATCCACCGTCTCTGCACGAAGATAAACAAATCCAAACAAAGCTCCAAGATCACCGAAGACGGTTGGCAGCATGACAGGTGCTGCAGGCTAGAGGCAGAAAGATATAGTTACATAATCGCTCGTTCTAAATATAACTGCAGTCAGAGCATACAGCATATAATTGTTCTGGTATTTGTCATGTATAGTACAGGAGCTTTTTTTGGTGTTTGATCTCCCCATGCAACAGGGAAGGGAACATACTGGTAAAGTGCTGCTGGGAGGGCTTGCAAAATGGTGGATTTCCAGTTGGGTTAATACACACATGTATACGTAACTCCAATTTGCAAGGCGTTGAACGATTCTTAACCAGATATTAGTGGTTTCTACAAACTCATCAGATGTTTCTTCTACTGCATGAAAAGAATTTGACTTTTGTTACATCTTTTTCTTGCAACATTTGGAAATTAAATCACAAAACATGGTAACTTTTTTTTTCTTCTTCTTCTTTTTCGCTTGGCTTAATTTAGTTTCCATGTAAACTGCACTGTGGAGCCTGAAAGAGATATCAGAAAAACTAAACAAAAGAAAAACAGAAAAGGTAACAAAAAAATATTGGGGTTCCTGTAAACCTGCTTGTAAATGATTGTTTGTGTTTACATATTTAAACGTGACATCAGAAGCTCAGAGAATCATCACATGTCTGAAGAATTTGTTTTGATCGATCATCTTCAAAGTCACTTCCCACCGATTTACACCAATTCCACTGAAGAGCACTGAAAAAATTACTTTGACATAGTTTTTTTTTTCACAGTTGGCAGGTGTGAGCATATTTTAAACAGAAGCAATAAACAGAAAAGCCAAAACTAAACAGTTTTTGTAAATCCTAATTATATCGGAGGATTCTAAAGTGGTGCAGTGCCACTTAGGAGAAGTGATCCCCTAAACCAGGTTGAGGACTGGTTACACACTTTAGTTATTATATTCTTCCTTCCATGCAGATGCATGGAAGAAGGCCCAACTTGCTGCTGCAAATTGTACTTTATAAGTTGTACTTTAAAAGTACAAAGGCACCAATATCACCAATCATTTTGCAAACAGAGGTTAAATACAACATCTGTTCTAACTCACTACAGTCAATGTCTGTTGATATCCTATAGCTTTTTTTTTTTTAATTCTCTGGAAAGTAATTTAAAACTCAGACATGTTTTTCGTGCGTTGCATACAGTCATTATTTATAATAAATATTTTGTATTAGTATTTTTTGAAGATAGAGATAAAATATATATACACATATATTTTGGGAAAATCAGTTTTGCTACAAATTCAGGTGCCTGAAGGGGTGAAACTAGCTACTGTCTTATTAACCGTTTGGACAAAATATCTTTTTTGTCAAGAAAATTAAGAGATTGCAGTACATGAAACAACAATGGTAAGTCGGTGAGATGATTGTTGAGCATTCAACATACTAATGTAGATATTGTGATGAAATGTGGTGGTTTTCAAGCATTTGCAGAGTGATGATTTTACTTGAGCATTGGACTTGAACTATTTTCTTCTAAAAGGATAATACATTTTTTTATTGGGATATTCCCATTGATTATTGTATTTTTCGATTTAAATGTTAGTGTTTTTTGCTTTATTGATTCCTTAATTATAAATTTTTTTCTTACAATCTATCCCCTTTCCTGCTGCAATAGTGCACATTTTCCTGCTAAGGGAAACATAAAAGACTGTTATATTCTAATCATTAAATTTTTGCTGGCTTAGCCTTAAATTACTGTTTGAACACTACACTCACAGTCACGGTTAGACAAATTCCTTACATGAGATTTAATGGCTGCCTGATAATAGCTGATCTGCCCCACCTGTGCAGGGAAGCTATTAGCAGGAGTTCAAATTACCTCCTGCAGGTCAAAGAGGAGCCCTGCTTTAGCTTTGTCCTGTGAAACAAGGCCATTTTGTGCTAAACATTAAGAACCATTTAATCCAGAAATCAGTTTGTGACTGGGACCAGAATATTAGATTTGGGGGTTGGGGGCGGGGGGTTAGGTATTGTATTGCAGACAAGAATGTTGTGACCTTTAGCTGTTAAATACTGCAGATCTCTGGTTCTGAACAGAGCAGAACCACAGGGGGAAAAGAGCTCATATACTTCTATGGGATGGAGACGCTGTGAATTAGGGTGAAACAACCTCAAGTGACAGCAATGCATCTTACCGGACAACAGGGCATTCATAGAGTACACACTGGTACACACTGACCTTCAGGAGTATTCCTCGTATAGATAGATAAAAACCCACAGATAATCATCTCCTATCTGTGGGTTTCCAGCTTACTGGAGCACAAACATGGACCTTTATATGTCACATATCGTTTAATTCTGTACCACATCCACTCGCCTTTTTCTCTTTTATCAATTTGCCAATGACTACCCTCCTTGTCATGCTTTACCTCCAGTACTAGCTCGGTCATCTGGTGTTGTTTCTGCAGCTCTTTGTTGTCCGGCACTTTCTCGTGGTAGAACAAACAGAGCATGCTGTGCTTCTTCAGGGCCTTCTTGTAATTCTTGTCACTGATGTCGAGAACCCGGTCCTTCCCGTCGTACTGGGGGAACTCCAGGCCCTTCTCAGCCGGCGTCACACTCACAAAGCTCAGGCAAGGGAGTAGGAACAACCACAGGGAAAACATGGTCCACGGCTAACCATCCACCCGCACAGAGCGTGACTTGGTTTCTGAAGATGCAGCTGCACAACTGGAGAAGTCAGACGACAACCGCCTGGGAAAGGATGGAAGAACGTGAGAAATCTCTGCAGAGGGATTTAGGAGGCAAAAGAAAGTCTGTCGGCTGAAGTTTTTAGCATGCCGGGAGAAATCTCAAAACTTCTTAAGAAACTCTGTCCCCCGCTGCGTGATTCCTCCCTCACGGTTTCCTGTGGACACAAAGAGGAGAGGAGCGCGATCAGGCCTGCGATGTGCTCTGGGTGGTTATACCATACATAGTCGAGCTTCTCTTCCCGTACTGGAGCAGGACAGGCCCATTTTTAGGAGACCAGTTGTTTGAAAGATAAAAATAGAACAGCAAGTGAGAAAGGGAAACACCAAAGGATGACAGTGGGGGGGTCCATAAAAAAAAAGTATTCTCTCTCTCTGATTTTCTGCAGACTCGATGTTGAAAGGGGTAAAGGCCGACTCCTCCTCCCCAGTCACAGTGGTCCCCAGTGGTTAGAGTTTTTGTTTTAGTGCAGTTGAAGGAAATGTTAGTGTGTCTGAAGTGACAGCTCACAGGACAGTCTGCTAACAGGTGTGTAGCAAACAGTTCAAATGACCAACCCCTATCTAACCTTTCTTTATAGTGATCTTTTCTATTGTTGTTGCATGTTGTGGTGCTTCAATGGCTTTACAATTACTACCCCTTTTAGACCAAAAGTACACAAAAAAAGTTACTTAAAAAAAAAAAAAAAAGAAGTCCGTCCAAAAATATTTGTTTTCTTGATACCCTTGTTCTCAGCTCGCGGCAGCACCTGGATACTCAGAAGGTGCTGCTGGACATTTGTTCCTGTTGAAACCAAGTGTTTCATATAATCTACTGGGATTATATCATTAGATCATCTTAATTGTACAGTATATGAGTGACATTTTGGACTAAATGAGTTTAGTAGGGCTGAACAGTGCCACAGGTAGTTGTGCTATTATCCTACAGCAAGAAGATCCTGGTTTTTGATGAAGTTTGCATGTTTTTTCCGTGTATGAATGGGGTTCTCACTGGAGACTGACCTTATCCCATTGTACAAAAACATTGATGCCAATTGGTCTCTCTAAATTGCCCTTAGGAATGAGAGTGTGTCTCTGTGTCTGGACTGAGTCAATTTTCTGTATAGACAAACTGCCCAATCAAATCTTCCTCATAATGGTCATATCCTCAAATATGAAAGCTTTCCAGGTGCCGACATTTGAACTTCTGCTGCCCTCTGCAGGATGAAGCATGCATAACTTGCTAAAAATCCACACATAATTCGACATACGACTTTCACACTGTATAATATCTGCTGTTGTCCTGCTTTTGAGGACAACATGCTGAAATTCATTACATAAAGATATTTAAGCACAGGAAAAGGTGAGCAGATCTTCACTGGTAAAACTTTTACGTTGAATTAATTTACTTATGATGTTGAATGAGAGCAATGTCAGTTTACTGTTTCAATCTTTATTTAGCTTAAATTAGGTTTTAGATTTTTGCGTGACTTTTTTTAATAAAAGAGCAACAAAAGAAGCTGATGTTTGACAGCAGCTAATAAAGAAAATATACTAGCAGTGAAAAAAATATTTAAGCTCGCTGTAATTAAGAAAGAAAGAAAGAAAGAAAGAAAGAAAGAAAGAAAGAAAGAAAGAAAGAAAGAAAGAAAGAAAGAATTGTCTGACATCCTGACTGCATGGAGAAAGCACAATTTAGTGGGCGAAGCCTCCGCTCATTTTCTTTGGAACCGCTAGATGGCAGTATAACATAAGCGACTTTCCTCGGTGAAGATTTATGATTCCTCACTATCAAGTTAACGTTGCACGTCTTCGGTTCTGTTAAAAAAAATATATGTGTAAACCACTTCATTACGTTTCATTCTGATTTTTTGGCTGAAGAAGGATGAAACAAACCAAAAGACAGTTTGAATTGAAATAGAGGTGCTAAATGGAGATCAGTCAGTTTTAATGTGCCAACACATTAAAAGTGGGATGTTATCTACATTGTACATGCTGTGGTGTCCTGACACAAGTGCTACAAGCTTTTATTTTCCATCAGATGGGAACTTTCCTGTTCCAGCGAGATAAAATATTCACACTGTGCACCAAACTCCACAATGACCTCGGGATTTTTCCTCTGCTTCTCTTCCTCCCTGGTCAGTTTTCAGCAAACTCTGTGGGACAAAAGCTCATTGCAACATGTGTTGTAACGAACTGCAAGTGGAGACCAAGTCATCCCCGCCCCTTTTTTTTATGAATGTTTTACTTTCCTTCTGTAAATGACACTATCAAACCTAAATACTACCAGTATATTTCCTGCTTTACAGATGAAAACTCTCACTAGAGAGATATTTGGTAAATCTTCATGTAATTTGGAATTTCTTTCTTTTCAATCCTGGAACAAAGCTTGTTGGAGGCTCCAAAAGACATTTGCAAAGCTTCCTTTAATCACTTTCTCTCAATGACAGCTTTCTTCTTGACACTCTTCTTTAAAGATTTGATTTGTGGAGGTTTTCTCACCTGAGTTGTGAACCTTTGCATCTCGTCCAGAGTTACAACATCCTCTTGGCTTCTTGGTTAATGATTTCTCTTATTTATGCATACCCTGCCCAAAAAAAAAAAAAAGAAAAGAAAAGAAACACACAACCAGTGTGTTGCACAGTGGGGATGTTTACTTTTTATTTATTTACTTTTTTTGTTTTCTCAGCACATACAGTTTTTAATACTGGACTCATTTGAAATGAGCACCTTCTTCTACTTGATAGTTCTTTCCCCAAAAAGATCTTTGGTTCACAGTCAGTCTCCCAGAAAGTAAGATTTGTGGAATGCAGAGCTATTTATTGTCCTATGATTGCTGCAGTTTCACGTGAGTCACCACCTTCACCATCAACAAATATTTCTGAAACTTTTCTTACATTTCTCCTTATTATAGTTTCTATATCAGCAAACATCAGTATAGGTATGTTGATTACAAAACTAGAGGCCTGTGGAATCCTTAATTACACGTATTGTTTGTGAAATTAGGGATGTGTAATGCAAAAATATTAAAGTTTTTTTTTTGCATTACTTAAGTAATGCACAAATTTAAAGTCTTGTAGCAAAATTGTGGCGTCTTTCTCAACATAGCCATAAAAAAGCTACAGAGAGCAAAAGCAATGACTGCTGTGACCAGAAGCTCTCTGACTTCATCCCGAGCTTGGCTGGATTAAACATCAGGGGTCAGCCAACCAATCCCTACAGTGAATGTGACATATGTAAAAGATCCTCAAGAGCTAGTGAACCGTAAAACCCAAGCTGAGCTTAAATGTTACATAAGCTCCAAAATGCAGAATCGCGCACACGCTCATTGACACGTTTTTACTTCTCCCTGCTCGTTTTTCACATGCGCTCACGTATTCTCGTTTATTTCCGTCCGAAATTCATTGCTGACTTCAGCGACAGTGATTACTTCAGAATCAGAATTACTTTATTGAGTTGAGCCGTTAGGGGAAAATTGCTTATTTGTTGACAATGACTTCCATTCAAAATGTTGAGTATTAGAAAATATAAAAATAAGCTAAGCAAAATGTATAAAAGATCATACACAAATGTTAAATTATAAATAATTTACCTAATCATAAATGTGAGCATCCTGACATTGGTGGGGTTTTTTTAGTTGGCTTGGGAACCATTCATCTGGTATCAAATTCACAAAACAAAAAAAAAAAAAACAATGACTAATCCTCATCTTGTAAGTTATTTGTCAAACTGTTCAATCGATCAAACATTCTCCTTCTATAACTTGCCGGTGTTCTGAGTTACTCTCTATTTTCTTTCCCTCGTTTGCCCTTCAGTGAGCTACAACAGTATTTTTCCAGACGTGGTCATGAGATTTTCTCATATGGTCACCACTCCCTCTTCTTGCCACAGACCAGAATCCCTCCGTCAGCCTCACTGCCCTGCTGCAGTGAAAACTACACCTGACCCCAAACACTGTAACAAATTAACCCAAACCGTCTCTTTGACCCATTATTTATTGTTTTCAAAGTCAGCAAATCCAGTAGACGTCACGGAAATTTTTTGTTCAGTCCTTCTGAAGAACTGAATCTAAATAACCTTGTGATTAAAATGTAACTCGTGCCTAAATCCTCTTAAATAGCTCCTGTAAGATAAGTAACTTATATTGCTATTTTCCCCCTTCGTGAGAAATAGTTGTTTTCCATAATGACACCCCTTGAATTTGATCTTGTAACCACCACAAACCTTTGAATATTATTGTTGGGCTTGGATATGCTAGCTAGACCAACACAAGGAAGTGCATATTTGTTGAAGGAAGAAGATCCATCCATCCATTTTCTTACACCCTGGTCCCATTGGGGTCTCCAGCGATCAATGGGCGAGAGGCGGGGTGCATCCTGGACAGGTCGCCAGTTCATCACAGGGCAACACAGACAGACAGGACAAGCAACCATGCGCACACATATAAGGAGAATTTAAAGAGACCAATTAATCTGACAGCCATGTTTTTGGACTGTGGGAGGAAGCCGGAGTACCCACTCATGCACAGAGAGAACACGTAAACTCCATGCAGAAAGACCCCAGGCCGGGAATCGAACCCAGGACCTCCTAGGTGCAAGACAACAGTGCTGCCACCTGCACCACTGATGCCAAAAGTAAAGCCAGATAAATCCATAGTTTTAAAATTCACCATAACAATATAGTGTGGCATGATCTCCACTTAAAGTAATACTCCTAAATATCACTATAGCAATAAGTGTACCTTATGTGATATCTGAGTAGAATTTGTTCTGAACATGAAGTCAATTGTTCGGTGACGCTTTATGACTTCTTTACAAAGTAAATTTTTGCTAGTGCAAAGAAAAAGGTTAGCTGGTGTAACAAAAAACAAACCTTATCTCAGTGTGCACAAAATGAAGGTGTTTGTGAGAGAGTCAAATGCTTTCAACCGGCCTTGAGCTGAGTACAGCACTCAGATACAATTAAACCGAGTTTTCTGAGGGAGTGGCGTGCCGATGCAAAGTTTTGGAACAAATGTCTGCTGCGAGACTGACTTAGACAAAATAAAATTAATCAATCCATCCATTCTCTATGCTTGCTTCTCCTTGCAGTGTCAGGACTCTGTCTGGGCCAATGGTGTTGTATTATTCTAACTTTTAATTTAATCTTGGTAAAAGAAACATATTAAACGGTCTGTAATTGTACAGCACTTTTGGACAGTGTGGCACTTCACACACACACTGATGGTGGCAAGCTACTGGAATGCAGCCACAGCTGCCCTGGGACACAGTGAGGGAGGTGAGGCTGCCATGACGACCACCACCACCTGCAGGTAACGAGGAAACAATGACAGAGGCAGACAGTGTGGGAATCAAACCCAGCAATTCAGGGACGAACTCCTACCACAGTTGCCACCATCATCGCCCTCATTGTCTTATGAAAGACACTTCATAAGGCAATCTCTTAAACCCTAAAATAATTTCAACTCTTGTCATTCAAAAATAACTCCACATTTAGTGTCTACGATGCTGGGAAGAAAATTTAAAGAGCTCTGTTTTTATATTACAACACTCTTCTGGTGAAATCCCTAGGAAGTGTAAAACATATGAGGACACAAAAGATTCAGCTCCGTAGGGGATGTGGAAGGGAAAAAAGAAATGACCGAAGCGTCACACAGTCGTA